CATTTATCATTATAACCAAAGACAGGAAATAAAGAACTGATCTGGTTCATGTGTATAGATTTGGTCGTTTTAAAAATTCACTCTTTGAGAAGAACTAAATATATGGGTCAAGTAAAATGCCCAAGTAATGATCGGTGCATTTGATTACAAGCAACTGGATTAATTATTCCATTGAAAGGCTGTTTTTCATACAAATCATCCAGCTTTTAACAACCAAATGAGTAAAGATTTAAAATATGATTAATTCTAAAATAAAATCTATTCCAACATATGTAAAACGAGCAAACAATTCATGCAGTCATTCCTCCCCTTAATTTTGCTTCAATACATCAGGCCGAGATAAGTTCAGATAGGTCGGTTATGTCGATTAATGTCATTTTATTGGATATCTCTATTAGAGATTTCCAATAAAATGACATACGTACGTAACTCGACGTACGGACCTAATGGGACTGGTTATTGCCAATCATTGAATTTGATTAAATACGTCGCTCAAGTTTAAACCAAGTATTCCAAGACTTTTAAAATCACACACTGGAATTTTCGTCCATATAAAATAATTTTATCATGACTAAAAATGATAGAAATCTTGCATTTTTATTTATCACGTGGTTCTCCAGATTCCCGCCTTTATTTTCACTGACATAAGATCACGTATAAAAATACGTATCCCATACCTATCATACGATCGATTTGAGTTATCTTTCATGGTTTTTGATAATGACAATTATTTTTCAATGTACTTTGCAGACGAACGCCCCATTATGCCTGTTTTTTACGTTATCCGATGTTTTTCTTTCTTTCTTTCTTTCTTTTTTTCTTTAACTATCTTTTTATTATATTTGTTGCGAGGAAAACATTTAGCAGGATATTTTTCTGACAATTTCAGAAATATCGAAACCAGTGTTTGTCAGAATCTATCTTTTTAAAAGTTGAAAATTGAGATAAAACTATCGCTTCCATTTAATTTCTAAACAAAAGTATTTTTAATTTATTATAAAATGTATTGATAAAAAACTACCTATATAGATTGTATTTAAGAAGGTGTGCTCGATTAAGGATTGTTATGTGTTGTTTTGTTTAACGAGAATGCTATCGGAGACATTTCCAGGCATTTTTTTTTAATATCCCTTGAAGTAAATTAACTTATAGTATTTTATCCATTTTATTGATAAACAATTAATGGGGGGGTCACCGAATTCGTTTTACTGCATAAATCATTAACTGAAATGTGTTAGGTAAGAAACATAGAACAACATAAGATAATAAGATTTCGTTGCCAGATGCGGATCCAGGATTTTGAAAAAGGGGGGATCTAGGCAACGTTAGAAGTGGAACATGCCCCCTCCCCCTAAATCCTCCTTTTGGATGCGCTATGCAGTCAAAACAGCTCTCTTTCGACGTTTAATCCTAATGCAGTGTAGAATATGACGATTTTGCGCAACGCTAAAATATCAGTATTTATAGGATGCAGGGCCATGTATATAAGCGTTCGTTTCATATGTATTTTACATATGCATATTTAGGACGAGAAGATGAATATGAACCAGATTTTGTATTATAACGCAGGAAGACATGTCGCCCTACCCGGACACATGATTCTGACTCCGGACCGACCAATCTTTGATCTTAGTTATTATATTCCATGCATTTTGACAAAAGCTAAACGTATAATGTTAAAAGACATAGTGGAACTTAAACTTTGATATCCCCAAATCCGTACAAAAGCATTTTAGAGGAGGTCATACATATAATTTTGTCAATTATTTTTGTTTTGATCAGGACCTGTTTTTAATTGAATACTGAGAATTAAACCTTTAATCAATAGTTTCATTGAAATATATTGATTAATGTGCATTCGAAATATTATTATTTCATGATAAAATTCCACAAATCTGGATTTTTTTTATAGACAAGATCTTTGCGCTAGCGTGTGATCTATCAAGAGTATGGTCATCTACCATCAACCCCCAACCCCCAACCCCCTCCCCCTTTATGGTGTTTCTTTAGCGTTGCGGGATGTACCAGTATGTACTCTATACAAGATTGTATAAATACACAGCCATGTCCAGTAGCAGTGGGAACGTCTAATCAAATCTAATGTAAATGCGTACATTTATTTAGTTCTAAACGGAACAGAACCAGGGATCCATAGTGAGCCTGTTGCAAGACAAAATGTCTGCCCCTTTGTAACATGCTCTCTTTTTCCAGGTACGATTGAAATTTATGCTGTTACATCTGTATCATGGTCGACCTAGTATACATATCTATGGTATTATTTTGTTTTACTTGTCCTGAATATGCATGCAGTTTTCGTCTTTTAATGTCCGGCAAAAACAATCAATTAATTAATCAATCAAACGTGATTAAAATCATGATTTTTCTTGTATTTGAAATGCTGAAAACTATTTTGCAATTAAAATTTTCAATTAACCGTCCACTCCCAACTGGCATTTACGTCTTTTAACCAAGTTGAGGCTTTGACTGCCAAGACTCAAATCATTTGCTTCACCAGAAATAAAATTCAAGTTAAGCTTCTGTTGATTGATTGATAGTTGGTTGCTTAACGTCCAGTGGCAAATATTTCATGCATATTTAACGTGCGCAGAGAGCGTCGCATTCTCTCTACATGAGACATTGAATTTAACGTCACCACTATGACCGGACGTGACTGCGTACTTGTACATCCCGCACAGCTAAAATGACGCCCCACTTTGGCAATGGTTTAACTGTCAGTCGGAACAAGACCAATAGGTACCATATTTCTATTCCCCGGTCACCCTTGAGGGATAACTGTCAAATCGAGCAAACTACCATAAGACCAAAGAGTATGAGTATGGAAGATACATATACATGTATATGTATTAATCAAAACATTTACAACAAGAATATGTGGCCTTAAGACACAGTGCCCCTTCACATGCTCATATTTCCATGTTCAGTGTACCACTTAATCCGGGTCAAACTCTGATTTGGTATGTAATTTTAAAAGTTTTATATTTTGAACGGAACGGAAGAACGGACGGATGCACACAAGTAAATATAATATCCCCTCGCTATCATAAGTTGGTCATAAAACTAAAATGATCATCTTACGTAACAAAACTTAAATCAAATTTCCGTACGTGTCCGTTTTTCATACATATTTGCATAACTTAAGCGCCAAACATTTCAGAAAAACAAAAAGTAAAAACATTAACTGATTCAGTAAAGTGTATTCATATTTTGTCTTGAAGAGGCGTCCTCATAAATTCCATTTGATAAAATTCTACGGAAAGGTGACAAAGTTCTAACAGAAAGATGCAACAGTGATCTTAATTTCTACCTCTGACAAAAGTATCTTGAAATAAATTATAGAACTATTATTAATATGCTTAAAAATAGAAGAAGCAAGTCGTGTACACCTTTTACATTCCGGCGTGTTTGAAACTCATGTTTTAATTTTATAACGTATAAATCAAAAATGAGAATATCATCTCGCTTCAGATTCTATTATTTTTATTTTTTCAAACTTAATTTTGATTTAGTAGCTTTAAGAATTCACCCTTTGAGAGATACATATATGGGTCAAGTGAAATGACGAAGTAATGATCGGTGCATTTGATTACCGGTAACTGAATTAATTATTCCCTTGAAAGTTTGTTGTCAATTAAATCGTCCCAAATTTAATAAAAAAATATGTAAAGAATTAAAATAGCAGATTGTGCTAATTTTTGAATAGCATCTATTCCAACAAAGTATGTGTATTCAACGAGCCAAAAATGCATGCAGTCTATGCTCCCCTCCGTCATCCTTCAATGCAATAGGCCGAGATACGGTCAGATAGGTTGGTTATATCGAGTAATGTCATTTTATTGGAAATCTCTATTTAATACAACATATAACTCAACGTACGCACATAATGGTAACAGTTATTGCCAACCTATGCATTTTGTTAAATACTTCGCTTAAGTTTAAACAAAGTAACCCATGACTTTTAAAATCATACACTGAATATCCGTCCTTATTAAATAATTTTGACTTGATGAAAAAATAATAGAAATTACGTCTTTTTATTTATCACGTAGTTCTCCAGATTTCCGCTTACATTTCACTGACACAAAATCACGTATGAATACGTTTCCCTTACCAATTATACGATCGATTACAGTTATTTTTCATTGTTTTGTTTATAACAATTAATTTTTAATATACTTTGCAAATAAACGCTCCATTATTTCATATTGTAAAATTGAGAATGGAAATGTACATGCTTATTTTTTCGTCATTTGATATTTTTCTTGCATTTTTTTATCTATCTATCTATTTATTCATATTTTTGTGGGTGAAAGAGTTTTTGAAATGATATTTTTCTGACAAGAAATGTCGAAATTTGAAACTGACCTTGTAGAAAGGAAAATAAAAATTCTAAGTTTTGGTGATCAGAAATAGGACGGACCACACAAATTTAAGCCATTATTCCAACAGCATCAATTGTTGCATGAATGCCATGAAGAAAAAAATTTGCAAACAGTTGACATTAGGATAGTTGTCACAAGGAGTTAAATAAAGATTTTTTTATTATAAGTTATTGATATCTTTTCAAAGATATGATCATGTAATATAATAGTTTATTTTAGATAAATATAGGCCACACGATTACATGCAAAATTGTAATCAAATTATTTAATTCTGATTAAAAAAAGGAAATATATGAGCTGATATCACTTGAGGTAATTTATAATCTTATTTTTAGTTCAGTCATGAGACAATTTACACCAATGACAAAAAAATCCTAAATTGGAACATACATAAAACCATATCAAAAGACTTTCTATCTACCATGTGTCTACTTTTTAAGTGATGGGGAGGAAATTGCATCATAAAAATCTATACAGAAAAAAAGACTCAAAACAATTTAATATATTAATAAAAACGCAAGACTTTCTTGCAAGTGACTTTCTTTCATTCGTATACATTTGCAAATATGTTTTTATAAATGTTACAAAATATCATTTCAGTGAGTGAAATTGGACATGCCATTGGTATCACAAGACCAGATGCTTTTGACGAAGACTTGTTCTTATCTGAGTTTCATTCCATGTCTTCGGGATTTTCAGTAATAAGTATTCGGGATGAAAAACACGTTATTGTCAACAATAGTAAACTAAATCAACTCGGAATATTCCCAAATCTCCTCGGTCACACAATAATCAATCCGAATCTCCAGCTCATTCTATAACTCAGTCGGAAGCAGTTCAGCCAGAAAATCTAGCTATACATACAAATCAATCAGACAACCTGAGGTCACAACAGCAACTTCTTATCTCATCACAGAATATATCAGAACCTAGTCCCTAGCCTCCTACAATAACATCTGACACATTCCTGCCTCAAACTGGTACTACTGTTTGTGATCTCAATGTTGAAAATACCAATCAAAACGTTAGCTATGCAAACACAAGGTAAAGGTCAATCAGAAAATGTTCCAACTGTAACAGAAAGTTTTGTGAATAACGAAAAGTCTGAAAGTACATCAGAGAACGATAAAACGGCAAGTTATAGTGACAATCTTTTTGCTAAGCTGGACGACCACAGTAATACTAATAATGATATTGATACTCATGAGGTTTTGCAGGTTATGAATTCTAGATTTGAAATGAATCCAGAATTTCACCAGGTTAGTCGTATGACATCTGTACCTGAAACAGATGGTGAATCTTGTACTGTCGCAAGAATTACAGTATTGGATCTAGATGATGGAAAAGGTAATGAATAAATATATAGATATGTAAAATTGGTTATTAGGCAAGAAAAGAATTGTTTCTTGATTTTTGTTTCCCCTATGTGTTTTCATTTACCATTTGCTCTGTTACTTTTTGGTCACATTTATGGTTTTCAAAGTAAAAAAAAATGTTTATGATAACCTGATTATTTCTGTACTAGAGAAAATATGCACTTTTTAAAGTTAGATGAGAATCTACACACCGTTCATTAGAACATTTTGGTTATGGTCACATTTTAGGTTATTTTGGAAAGTGCCAAAATTAGACATATCAAAATTAATCACACCAAACAAAACACATTGACAAAAAATGTAAATGCAATATTCCAATATCAATCATCAAAATATATTATAAGATCAATAATTTATTTTGATAGGAAATTACAATAATATGATTAGTAGAATCATAACATTAAGTGGCGTTATAGTTTAATTAGTGGTCTATCTTACTAGATTAGCAGGTTAATTTTATAACAACACTTACTAATAAAGTTTGGTCTAACAACATATTATTTGCCTGTATACATACAAAAAAGGGGGAGAAACATTAATACATCATTATCAAATGAAATCGTCAGTAAATCTACTCTCTCCAAATTATTTGAATTGAAAATGATCTTATCTTATTTTTATATTTAATTATTTAGAACCCAGTCAGTGACATTTTAATTAGAACCCAGTCTGTGACATTTTAATTAGAACCCAGTCAGTGACATTTTAATTAGAACCCAGTCTGTGACATTCTAATTAGAACCCAGTCTGTAACATTTTAATTAGAACCCAGTCTGTGACATTTAAATTAGAACCAAGTCTGTGACATTTTAATTAGAACCCAGTCAGTGACATTTTAATTAGAACCCAGTCTGTGACATTTTAATTAGAACCAAGTCAGTGACATTTTAATTAGAACCCAGTCAGTGACATTTTAATTAGAACCCAGTCAGTGACATTTTAATTAGAACCCAGTCTGTGACATTTTAGAACCCAGTCTGTGACATTTTAATTAGAACCCAGTCTGTGACATTTTAATTAGAACCCAGTCTGTGACATTTTAATTAGAACCCAGTCTGTGACATTTTAATTAGAACCCAGTCAGTGACATTTTCTTTCATTTTATTTGCTTTTAAATTGTTTTAAAATCAGAAAAGACAAAACTGACTTAATCAGTACTTACATTGATTTTGTTTCAGAAAAATGAAAACTAAATATAAATTGTTATATATGCACAGTTATGAGAATTTATTATCCTACATTCTGTCGATAATGTTTACTTATATGTTGGCATTGCACGAGGTCGGGCGTGTCTCAGACTGTTAAAGGCATTTACACACTTATCCGTTGAATGTGGACCGATTGATACCTTAGTCTTCGGGAACATGATTTATTTATTAGTTGAAATAGGACTTGCAATAGCTTTCATTAACTGCAAGTGTTCTCTTATTTTCATTTTTTGTGTCTACTGTTTTAATTTTAGTTGTTTTTAAACCACGACCGATATTTTGAGTTAAGCAAATTATTCCTGATTTTTACATTTAATTCTTGGATTGTGCAGTAACACCACTGTTCAAAGTTAGGGGAGGAGTGATCGCTTAAAAACAAGTTTAACCTCGCAGGATTCTTCATATGACTGTTCCAATTAATGCAAGTCTTGTTGGTGCTTTTTACAGCTGACTTAACTGTATGGATTTTACTCATTGTTGAAGGTCGTACAGTGGCCTCTAACTGCTTACACCCACTTCATTTGAACACGTCATTTTGTTGTAGTGTGGAAAGTGGTCTTATTGGTAATCATACCACATCTCCATATTTTCATATTAAAAATTTTGACTTCAACCCTACTAAGACAGAAAGAAACTTTAGATGACTTAAAATGTTCATTCAATCTTCACAATATTAAAACAATAAACATTAAGATATCAAAAGTATTCGGTACATTGTATAAGTTATACATGTTCATTGATAGGGATTTAAATTAGTAAAAGGTTCTTATACAATAAAAAAATAAAAAGAGAGACGGAAAGATTTTGACACTTTCAACTTTTTTCACAGATATCTCTGATGCTGTAATTCTTCATGCTGAAGATGACAAACAACTAGTATCAGAATTCATTCAAAATATGGAGACAGAATTTCCAGAATTACAACTAAATTTTAAAATATTCGAACAGTTGAATATAGGAAAAGGTATACTTGAATCAGCACCACTTCTGTTTAGAACCAGTAGATTCGTATTTGTGTTCATGACAAAAATATTTGAGCAGGATGATCTGTCAAAATACGTGAGCCAAATGCTTTTGCTTGAATCTATTACATTTGAGGAAAAAAGCAGCAGGTTAATACCAATATTGAAGGATGTCTATTATAATCCAGTGTTCGCTCCTGTGATTCCTTTGATGTACAATAGATATTTGGAGCACAAATCTCAAAAAGAGGAAGATAGTGTGTTTTTAAAAAGTTTTAAGAAATTGGTCATACATGGGAGAAGATCGTATTTGACAAGCTAACAATATGTTGGTAAAGTAGAAATCATTAATGTTCATAAATCTAGTTCTGTATTTAATATTCGAATATGATATTCCTACAGTACTTAAGATCTGGATTTAGATTAAGAAGCCAATTGTGTAATTGTTTTGGAGATGAGTGCAAACCATAGTTTGCAGCTCATCCATTAGTCTGTACTGTATATGTATGAGTCTTTAAACATTTTATTACTATTATTTTGAATTTTCCAAAATTCATATATAAAATATTGCCTCCCTGTGTGTATTTCAGTTCACACGGCACACAGGGCCATTTGAACTTTTGCCATCATTTGTAAACTTTTCTTTCAAATTCGTTTCCTATGAAACTGCATAATGGATTGAAATCAAAGTTTGTCTGCTTCATTTATAGGATATCTACTATAAAGTGTGATTTTTGTTCAGGTTAATGATGAACACTGTGGCTTAAAATAGAACATAGGGTGAAACTAAAGTTTTTGATGATACATCGAAAATCAAAGCAATAGGAGAACAAACAAATTTGTAAATTTTACAAAAATCTGTCCATCAGTTTTGGAGTTATTGTCCATGAAATGCTAAAACTATAAGATTTTATAATTTCAAACTTTGCATATATATTTATATATCCCACATTGATATCTTGGTGTGAAAGAGAAGGGAAAATAGACAGAAAACTAACATTATAATATATATAATAAATCTTGAACAGATAAAACCTATTAGTTTCTAAATTGTTTAAGAACTATCCCTTGATTTTTTTTTTAATTTTGATACCATTCTAGAAATTAACTCATATAACTAGAGTTGACAATTTATCTTAATATGTATTCTTGGATTTAGCATATTTTTACATCTTACATACATGCAAAAGAGATTGTTATGGTAGTTAAAAAAACTCATTTGTTTTCAATTTGGATATGTTGAAATTTTTGAAATTCTAACTTGAAACATTTAAATAATTTTGGTTATAAATTTGAAATTTCATGCAATTTTTTTAACATGATTAAACAGTATATATTGAACAAAATAAGATATACTTTAAATGTAATTTTACAAGAACTTAATAAGATGATTGATTTATTGGTGTTTGCTTTACGCCGCCTCAGCACAAAAAGGCTATATCTACTGAATTCTAAGTAATAATCTTTGAAACTTATTTTTTATTGTTGCGAACGGTTCTACTTCATGGTATAAGCTACAGTTTTAAATTCTTAAAAGGAATACACACCTACAAATATTTGCCCACTTCCTAATTGACAAAATAATCCTTCTTTGTTAAAATATTAGACAAAATACGGAGTTGTTTGCGAACGAGGTGTTTGGTTTTTTGGGGATGGGTGTGTTTATGTTGTATTGAAGGAAAGAGTGGAATTGTTTTTTTCTTGAGCTGTTTGATTTTTTGGTTGAGTGACATTTGGTTGTTATATCTATAACGTAAGTCTATATTTTTTTGTGTTTTATTCTGCTTACTAATTATTTGTCTAATAGTTAGCTAGAGTTATTTTTTTTTTATTGTTAAATGTATATTGATTGTTTTTGTATTTCTAAAGATTATGAGGACATCATGTCTCTACTACACCATGGAACACCAAGAATGTGGTCCTTGGCTACTTTAATAATATGAGGACATTTTGCAAAGAAAACTTTAGAAATTTTGACAAAATATATGTTGCTTTATGTCAAATGAATATAAGTTAATCTGATATGCTTCTACAAATTAATTATTGGAGTTCCATTAAAGCATACCAGTTATACTTCATACTTTACTTTAGTTGGCCTTTTAAATTGTTTTGATTCGAGAGTCACTGATGGATCTTTTGATGACGAAACGCGCATCTGGCGTACACAATTTTAATCCTGATATATATTATGAGTTTGTTTATAGAGGGAAGGTTTTAATTTTCAAATAGAAGAACCAAGAGTATAGTTTATAGGTCAACCACATATAACTCCATTTACAAGGTGCTTTCTATGAATTATGTAATGTACTATTATATTATTTATTTATGTATTTCTCTGTGCTGAGTGTTCTTGCGTTTATATGTACTGTATTCCTGTCACGTAGTGTTGTCATTTTAGCGGTATTTTTAACATTGCCATATAAGCGGGAGGTTTGGCTAGCCATACAACCAGGTTCAACCCACCATTTTTTCTTAAAATGTCCTGTACCAGTTCAGTGTTTCTGTTGTTCCGTTGATTTCCTCATATAGTTGATGTGTCTCCCTCGGTTTTAGTTTGTAACCCGAATTTTTGTTTTCGCTTACTCGATTTATGACTATTGAACAGCGGTATACTACTGCCGCCTTTATGTACATGTTTTAATGGAATATAATTACCCAGATCAAGAGTTAAAAATATTGTTAGAACTGAAAAGAAGTAAAGAAATGATAAGTATTAACTGACATGGCTCAGATTTTTCTAAGAATGTAAATGTCATGAACCTTTACAGAATTTCAATCTATTTTCAGCCTCTTTCTTTAGTCCAAATCAAATTAATTGCTGAGTCCATAAAATGCATTTAAGACATATCTCTTAAAGTAAATGAAATAGGAAAAATTGATGTTTTGAGGTTGTGAAGCATTTTTCAAGATAAATAATTTACATAATGATAATGTGAAAGGATATCAACATTTATTTTGTGTTTCTTTTATTTAAAATTTTTTATATTCTTTTTTTTCGGGGAAAGGGGGAGGGAGATGTTGTGTTTTTGTTGGTTTGATTCATTTTGTATTATTTTGATAAAGAAGTCAGCATTAATTTATATGAATAGGCTTCATCATTTACAAAATTTATCTTAAATTAGTACTAACGAAGATAGATTTACACTGTATTGAAATGTAAGTAAAGCTTTAGACAATATGCTTACAAATGTCTGAAATTGTATAAAGGAAGAATACAGAAAATTGAGTGGTTTGTTTAAAATATTCTATCATTGTATTTAATGATGAAAACCATACACATAATAGCCTTTATTTGTATCAGTTATCAAGTTTTCAGTATGCTGATATTGAGAAGTATGATCTTTCTTTGTCCCACGCGCAACGCGTTTCGGGGGACATAGAAATACCGGGCGTCTGTCCGTCCATCCATCCGTCCGGTTTTGTTAGCGCTCTTACGTGTACAATTCTTGCCAGGTTTATATGAATCTTATATCTAAGGTATATATCAGCAATGTATTGGACGAGTTTGAAAATTAGTGCCGATCAATTATTTTTAAAAGAGTTATGCCCCTTGGAACATTAATTATACAGAAAATTACATCTTTACCGCTCTCACATATACAATTCTTGGCAGATTTTTATGAAAATTACATCATAGGTTTATATTGGCAATGTCTTGGTAAAGTTGAAAATCAGTGCCGATCAATAATTTTTAAAAGAGTTATGCGCCTTGGAACATTATTTATATGGAAAATTACATCGTTACCGCTCTCACGTGTACAATTCTTGCCAGATTTTTATGAAACTTATATCTTAGGTTTATATTAGCAATGTCTTGGAGGAGTTCGAAAATCAGTGCCGACTATTTATTTTTAAAAGAGTTATTAGCCTTATAAACATTATCTATATTGAAAATTGCATCGTTAGCGCTCTCGTGTGTACAATTCTTGCCAGATATTTATGAAACTTATATCATAGGTTTATATCTGCAATGTCTTGGACGAGTTCGAAAATCAGTGTCGATCAATTATTTTTAAAAAGAGTTATGCCCCTTGGAAACATTAATTGTAAGGAAAATGAGGGTAAAGGGGCTTATTGTACTTTCAAAATACCCGTCCATTTAGAATGAATAGCCATTAAGACTAGTCAACTTCAGGAATATGATAAAACTCGTATGTTATCATTTAAAAAATTCAAGCATCAGACTCTTATTCCCCCAATCAACAATGTGATTTTTTTGGCTTTTATCTAGATTGATATATGATTTCATTCGTTTAATTTATTTTTACTACGAGTTATGAGAACATTTACTGGTAAAAAAAAGTACAAGGTGGGTACGGTTATCCTGCGAGAGAATGTTGGCGCTTTGGTCATAACTGGTCCTGGTGATTGTTGAAAATATCAAAACAAAGATAAAAAAGACAATGTTTGACGTTTTCTGGGATAACATACAAAGTGTTCATTTGAAAAAAAAACATCTAGGACCAAAAGGAAAAAATAAACAACAGTGTTTCCCCGGAGTCCAAAATAAACAAAAGTGCTCCCGGAGTCTACTTTCTAGCCCAAATTCCAGCTGATACTACTGTTTGTGTCCTCACTATTGAAAATGCCAATCAAAACTTAAGCTTTGCAAACAAATCTTAGTTTAAGGACTAGTATCAATAACATTAACAGGTCAATGCAAATCAGAAAATGATTTAAGTATAAAAGAAAGTTTTGGGAATAATGAATTAAGGACTAAAAGTACATTGAATTACGGTACAGTGGCAAGTTGTAATGACAATAATCTTTTAGGTAAACTGGAAGACTAGAGTAATACTAATAGTGCAATTTATATTCCGGAAGTTTTGCTGGTAACAATTATAAATCTGAACTGAATCCACAATATGAACAGGTTATTCGTATGACAGCTATTCTTCAAGTTGATGCTGAACCGTGTACTGAGATCTGAACTGAATCCACAATATGAACAGGTTATTCGTATGACAGCTGTGCTTCATGTTGATGCTGAACCGTGTACTGTCTAATATTACAGAAAAGGTGGAAACAATTATTGTCGTGCATCTGCTGTCTCTGGATTGTTTGATCCATTCTCGTGCCGAATTTACTGATCGCGACCTTGATAAACAATCAACAGAAAATCATGGAACACGTGTGAAGTGAGATGAAAGAGTGATGTTTATATATTTTTTCCCTATTTTTCATGAGTTCCCATGAGTTGATTAAACTTGTCATACCAGTTGTTCAACAGGTTGGTGCGTAAAAAACTATTCAGAATAAATTAATACTATGTACCTACCACGTTTATTTACCTTTTCTTTCATCTTGTGGTTTCCCATGTGCGGCTGCTGAAATTCTTAGGTGAGGTGTCATGGTTAAGGTTATTTCATACGGAAAAGCTGTCGATGAATTAGATTACGGAAAGACAATAATTCAATAGTAATATATTTCATAAGTATTGGAAAAAATAAAGAATTATCAATCAATTAAAACTTACCTACTTAGTATTGCTAAACATATAATATGAACATTTACGGTACTACATTCTGTCGATACTAAAATGTTGGAATTGCACAAGATCATGTTTTTCACTGATTGTTTTTGACGTCTTTTTGGACATTGTGGAAGGCCATACGATGACCTGTAGTAGCTATCGTTTACGTCTTCATGGGTAGTCGAGGTCGCTAAACAACCCCTAGTAGTAGTAGTGTACGGCCTTCGGTCTTTGGTGGAAAGTTGTATCATTTGCAATCATACCACATGTCCTTATTTTTACAATATTGCACCTATGTAGATTACTTGTAATCGCTTCCTTTTGCATATTAATCTTCTTAAAATTGGAAATTATTGTTACGTTTGGTTAATTGCATGAATCAGAAGCAATAATAGCTAGAAGCTAAGAATATTTGTTTTGATAGAAGAAGGTAAAAAGTCTACTTAGGCTGAAAAATGAATACTCTTCTGAAAAACTTGTCCAATTTGTAGTTCATAATCAATAAGAATAAATTGAAAACAATGTGGTATTAGCAAAGTGAAATATGTCTTTTATACTTAAATTGAAAAGTTATCAAGCTTTTCTTTAAATAAATTGATAGTGTTTAATTTTGTTTACTTTCACTACTTGTATTCAAATAAGATTTATTATACCAATCACCTATTTTATTTCTTTTAACCATAAACCTCTTCCGGTGATGGGGTATGGTAAATGCGAAATGATTCAATAATATTTCAAAAACCTTGAAGGAAACTATGTAGGATAAAGCATAGTTAATGATTATATTTAATGACATCATTGTGTAAATATAAAATTAAAAAAATTAAAATAACACGTTATTAATGTCATTCGTCCGTAGCGATTTTCTGGATTTACCTTCATCAGGAACGCTCAAAGCCGGATAATCAAAAGCAAGGGATGTATAAGAACCGGAACAGTTGAAGAGCTATATGACTCAAAAGGTCATGAGGGAGTCAAAACCTTAGTTTCTTTATAAACTCAAAATTTATGAACGGACAATTTCATAAAGGTTTGTTATGATTTATGTCTGTACCTAAGTACTGACTACTGAGCGGAGGTTCACATATGCCTGAGGGAGTTTAAGATGTAAAAACACCTTTCATTACAAGCTGTTCTTTGGATGAATTTCTTGCAAAAAAAATATTTGTGATGTGCAAAATATAGTTTGTTTCCATATAAAAAAAAAGGAAAAAACAAATAAATAAATTCAACATTGAGCTCCAAAATTTTGTTTTTTTTAAAGTGTTTGATTAAACAAAAGCATGCAAAAACAAAGCAGATGAATGATTGGTGCCTTACCGTTCTTTTATTCTATTGTACCCTGATGTAAGAAAATTCTTTTAACGAATAGAATATGAATGGAGACAGAACATTCAAAGATTTATTTGTATGAATAATTATATTGCATTATTCTATTGAATTGTTTTTGTCGGTATTGTGAGATATAAACCTTGCAAAATTGAAACGTCTCTTTCTTTAATCTCGTTTATAATCTCATATAGGCAGGTGATATTACAAGTTGAAAAAGTGCATTTTACAAGTTTATTTATAACATTTGAAAGGAACTACATTTAAAAGA